TACCTAGGAGGGAAATTGCTAGGTTATATGGTAATTCTATATTTAACTTTTTGGGGAACCTCCAAACTTTTACACAGCAGCCACACCATTTTACAGTCCCACCAGCAATGTACGAGGATTCCAATTTCTCCACATCCTCACCAACACTTATTTCCTTTTTTTTTTTTTTTAATATTATAGCCATCGCTAATATGCTAAGTTCACTTTTTAGTTCTTGTTTTATTGTAAATTGCTGAGGATTTCTTCTACATAGTTTGTGAATAAAGACAGTTTTCCTTCTTTCTTCCATCTTATTCTGTCCTTTCACTGTTAGTTAGTATATTTATACTTAAATTGCATTTTACAGATAGCATAAAGTTGAGTCCTTTTTTTTTTTTGTTTTTACTCATTGTGAGAATACTTGCCTTTTAATTGGGGATATTTAGTCCATTTACATTTAAAGTATAAAATACAGCATTTTTAGTATAGTCTGAAAATCATGCAACCATCACCACTATCTTAATACCAGAACATTTTTATCATCCCTAAAAGAAACCTTTTACCCATTAGCAATCACTCCTCATTTCTCCCAATCCCTAATCCCTGGCAGCCACTAATCTACTTTCTGTCCCTGGATTTTCCTATTCTAGACATTTCATATTAATGGAATTATATAGTATGTGACATTTTGTGTCTGTCTGCTTTCACTTGGCATGTTTTCAAGGTTCATCCGTGTTACAGTGTGAATCAGTATTTCATTTTTATCACAGAGTAATAGCCTATTGTATGGAAATACCACATTTTATTTATCCATTCATCAGTCTTTAGATATTTGAATTGCTTCCACTTTTTAGTTATTATGAGCATTGCTTTTTTTGAATAGTTGTCTATGAGGTTTTGTGTGCATGTATGTTTTCCTTTCTCTTGGGTATATACCTAGGAGTGGAATAGCTAGGTCATATGTTTAAGTTTTTGAGGAATTGCCAAGCTTTTCCACTGTAGCTGTACCATTTTACAGTCCAACCAGCAATATATGAGGGCTCTAATTTCTGCACAAGGTAATCAACAATTGTTATTGTCTCTGTCTCACTCTCTCTTTTTTTAATGATAGCCATCCTAGTAGGTGTGAAGTGATATCTCATTGTGGTTTTCATTTGCATTTCCCAAATGACTAATGATGAGCATATTTTCTTGAGCTTTTTTCTGCTTTTTGTTCCTCTGTTGTTCCTTTAATGCTTTCTTTTGGTTTCATAGTTTTTTGTTTTTTGTTTTTTTTTTAAGTATTTCAGTTTAGTTGATCCATTGGCTTCTTCACTTTTTATTCTTTTAAAAATTTGTATTATTTATTTATTAGTGGTTGTTCTAGGACTGACAGCATGCACCCTTAAATTAGCAGAGGCTATTCAGAATTCATTGTACCTCTTTATTTATACCTTACACTTGACGCTTCAGACTTTGCACTCACCCAAACAGTATTTAGGGTTCCACCCATCTTCTTTAAAAAAAAAAAAAAAAAGTTCTTTATTTAGTATTTTGATTAATTTTTATTAGTTTTCTAGGTTACCCAATATAATTAGTCATAAACACTTGTAAAATCTGTTATATACATATTCATCTGCTAAAAGATATATCTTATATTGATTTTTGACTTTAGTCATATTTTCCTTTAATTTGAAATAGCCATGATTTTTTACTTATCCTGGCCATCATGTTGTTTTTCAAATATATTGGGTATGGTAGCCACTATATAGTCCCAGGGAGCCCTGGTGGCATAGCTCAGGCTGCTAACCAAAATTTTGGCAGTTCAGATTCACCAGTCGTGCCTTGGAAACCCTATAGGGCAGTTCTACTGTGTCCTATAGGGTTGCTATGAGTTGGAATTGACTGGACGGCAGTGGGTTTGGGACATCTCACACACACACACACACACACACACACTCTCTCTCTCTCTCTCTCTCTCTGCTAGAGAAGAGCTAGTAATTTATGTTCTTCAGGAATAAACACTTTGTCAGGTGCTTTTATAGAGCCTTGTACTTACTGCTTTATTGGAACTAAAATATTTTCAGAATCTGGTACTCATGTTAAATGTGGCTTAACGATGTATATTGTGTGTTTCATTTGCTTCACAAATAGCTGTAGCAAATGGGAAAACATAATTTTGTCTTTCGTTTATTCTGTTGCTAAACATGATGTCATGCCTTTACTGCTACCCTGAAAGTAGGCTATAGTTGTCCTTCCTTGTCTTTTAACACATTCCTTAAGAACTCAAGAGCCTTCTTTTTACTGCTGATCTTCCAGAACAGGTTGCAGATATTAAAATTTGTTTCCCTACATAGTTGAGAGTTCTGCCGCTCCAGCCAGCTGAGACTTGTGTTAAAATACTTTACTCGGATCGTGCCATCTTTGTGAACATAGGCCTCACCAGTAAAAGCGTGTTCTGTCTGGAGCAAGCTGAGAATTTCTCTGCCGGGATTCTAAAAAATGACTAGCTTGGCTCTGGGAGTTTAGAAAGGTGGTTGGCTCAAGTATATGACTGACGTATAACAGCCAGTGACTTTTTCTGCTGTTTGTAGGATGGAAAATGAATGAGAAAATGGGTGATTTAAGAGCATTTGGAATTTTTTTCCCAGGCAGGAAGGAAAGTAGACTTTGTTGTACTCATTACCTCTAGTAGGTTTGATCTTTTTTGTTACCCATATTCTAATGAAAGTTTCGTTATAGTTCAGAATGATTTCAGAAAGATGGGAGGTATTTAAAGTCATTAAGAGAGAATCATCCTGAGCTGAATGGGTGAATAAGCCAGTGAATGTTCCAGGTAATCTGAACTCTGGAACTGAAGTCTGAGAAATTTTAAAAATACATATTGATGTTTAGCAGCATAGTACCACTACACTCTGCTTCAATTAAGTAGCAAAATTAAAATTGCACACTAAATTGTATATACACTCATTTTTCTGGGTGAGAGAGTACATGGTTTTGATCTTAAATTCTTAAAGGAGTTTATGTCCTATAGAAGATTAAGAACTACTATCCAGAAAATACTAACCTGGTTTTTAGTTTCCTGAAGCCTTCTTTTTATTTCAAATTGCCCTTAGCCAGTATCCCTGCTTTCAGAAGCCTTTTTTTTTTTCCCTTCAGTTTCTGATGTTGAAAAGAAAGGGATGCAGATTTATAGGAAAAGAATTATATGCAAGGAAATGGAATTATCTTGAATTGTAAGCCCTCAAGTGTCTCTTGGTAAGGTGTTAAGAAGATGTCTTAAAAAATCTTCTAGCAAAAGTGACATAATTGAAACTGAGTAGAATAAGGCTATTGGAAAGGAACCTCAAAGATGCAATTCTTGAGGCAAGTAGAGGCTTTCAGACAGACTGTAGGCACAAAGAACAACACTGTTCATACACATACAGTGTTTGTTCGACTGCTTTGTTTGTGTGCTTCTTTTGCCTCATGTTTGAGTAAGAGACGTCTCCCTATCCTGTCCCAGAGTGTCTTTTGCAGCATCCTTCAGCAAAGCTGCCAGTCCAGTGAAATAATCACAATGTCACAGATTAAATATTTCCTTTTACAGCAGGAGAAACAGGCCAGGTTGTTTTAGGAACTTGGCTTACATGAGAAATTCTGGAACACATTTGGTGTAGATAAAGGGATTTGTTACCAAAGGGAGATTGTCTTCACCCTCCTGGCTACTAGAAATCTTTTTTTTTTTTTTTTTCTTTTTTAAAAGGGCATTTTATTTTTAAATTCACCGTAGCCACACTGTCGGCTTTTTACCTCCCGTTTGAACTCCTCTTTGCCCAGCTGCTCACTCCTGAAGGGGCAGCACCAGCTTCATAGGCAATGGAGAGAGGGGAAGCCAGTCCAAGCCCACTAAGGTTTAAGCAAGTATTAATATGCCAGTGCTCATGTTTCGAATGTGAATACTGCAATCAGATCAAATTGTGGGAGTTTTTAATATTTAAAACTCTTATGCTGTATCTTGATAAGCTAACACATTCACCTTTTCCCCAGTGAGATAGTAAGGGAAAGAAGTTTTTCTTTCTTCATTTCAAAAAGCTAAAGCTTTAATTTCTTACTTGTTTTTAATTTTTTCCATGAATATTTCCTTTGCTTTTTTCTATAAATGTGACTACTATAGATTGTAAGTCAACAGGGTACATCCCTCTTTTTCAATAATTTGACGAATAACTCCTTTAGACCTCTTTATTTACTGAGAAAAAAACATTTCTAATCAAGCATGAGGTGAAATTATATTCAGATTCTTTAATAGTTAAGATACAGAATAACCATCTAACAATTAAAAAATGTTATTATCTTACGTGTAAAGCACATTTAGGTACTAATCAAAATGCTGTTACAGAATTGCTGATAAAACTCTAGCCCAAAATGTCTAAGTTGGCCATCAAGCTGTCTTTAAATGTTTTCTGTAGAAAAACTGTCTTCAAATTTTAGAATATAGTTTTTTGTAATGTGGTCTGAAGTCTACATAGAACTGAATATAAATCATAGTTTCGCACTGGAGTAGCCCCTTGTGTTCTGGACAGGTCTTGCACCTTTGCAGCTTAACTTGAAGTATAAATGATTTAAGCAAGACAATGAGTGTCTTTTTTGTTTGCCATTTAAGTCATGGGCCTAATTTTGGACTGTTTATCTGTCTGAACTGCATAGAGTTTCTTTAATTGTATGAGCAAAGGTAAGGCTGTTACCTCAGTTTCACGGTTTATATCATGGATTATTTAAAAATTCCTGTTATACCAGAATGTGCTATTTATTTATGGTTTAAAGCACAACCACCTATTTTGTCAAAAATCCTTTTAACATACTGATCTTCTTTGTGATTTGACAATTAAAAGACAACATGAATCTTCAGTGAAAGCCTTTCAGAGCCTTCATGTTTCTGCTTCTCATTTCTTGCTTTCTATTTAAGATTCGTCAGCTGGCAAACCTTCACTTCTCTCTCCCCTTCCCCCACCCATCCTCTATTTTACATTAATGTACTTTTGTGTTTGGGGCCCTCTGGTTAGGCCTCAGACATTCCACAGCTACCTAGAGGACATCATCAACTATCGCTGGGAGCTTGAAGAAGGAAAACCCAACCCTCTGAGAGAAGCCAGTTTCCAAGAGCTGCCTCTGCGCACTCGTGTGGAGATACTACACCGCCTTTGTGATTATCGGCTAGATGCAGATGATGTCTTCGATCTTCTCAAGGTGCTTAACTGGCAAGCCCTTCCCCTAGAGGGAAAAAAGTCAGCAATGGAGAATGTGGTCAGAATGTAAAATCTGAGGATAATAAGAGAAGCCAGAGTTTGGCATGTATTACTAATCTTGGGGCTCTTGATTGACAATAACACTGCATACAAAACCATGACCACTGTAGCCCAGGGAATCTATATGGCTGTATATTATTTGGTTTAATTTCTAGTTTGATTTTGTTTTCTTTTACTTGCTCTGAGTCTGAGCTTATGTAGGAACAACTGGAAGCTCCTGTTTGTTCTCCCAAAGTAGCACTGGTGGCACAGTGGTTAAAGTGCTTGGTGGCTAGCCAAAAGGTCGGTGATTCGAACCCACCAGCCACTCCACAGGAGAAAGATATGGCAGTCAGCTCCGCTAAAGATTTACAGCCTTGGAAACCCCTATGGGGCAGTTCTGCTCTGTACTACAGGGTTGCTATGAGTCAGAATTGACTCAATAGCAGTGGGTTTGATTTTGGTTTTCTTGTAATTTGTTCTCCCTATTATCAACTAGGAAACCCTGGTGGTGTAGTGGCTGCTAGCCAAAAGGTTGGCGGTTCGAAACCACCAGGCACTCCTTGGAAACTCTGTGGGGCAGTTCTACTCTGTCCTGTAGGGTTACTATGAATTGGAATCTACTCAGTGGCAATGGGTTTGGTTTTTTGGTTTTATTATCAACCAAACTGCAACTAAATTAGCCTATTAATTGTCTTTTATTTCCGAGGTCTAAATTTGATTGACCATAGTTGAAATATTCATTGAAAATTCCAAGGACCTTAAACCTTCTCATATGCTAATAAAGTTCATCTCCCGTACACATTATCCAAAAAGGTGTTGGAGAAGAAAAATGTGGCTATCTTGTCCTTCCCCCTTATTCTTCTATTGCTGTTACCTATTTTAGAAGTCTGTCTCAGAGGGAGGTTGTGGGTTATTGCTTTTCACTCATAGGGAGGTCAGTTTCTAATCCTGTTCAATCAGAAATGATTAAATGTGTTGATGACTTCTCAGTTCAGCCCTGCTCACGGACATGTTATAAAAATCATTGTGTAATTTAGCACAGTCTTTGCTGAGAATTCAAGGACTTGAATAGCAGTCAGCATACAGGTCAGACCCTGGGGTAAATTGGGAGCTGTACTTCTGGAGCCCAGCTGGAATAAGAGGTTGCTGTAGGTTATGATGGAGCTACAGTAGAGGATCACGTGGGGCAAAGCTTTCACAACATCTTAATCTTCTCTACTGTAATTGTCTTTCTTTTCATGGGTGCACACATAAAATCTTAATAAATGTAAACCAGATATATAAAATGTACATCAAAATTTCTTTTGGTCCCCCCCCCCTCTTTTTTTGTGGTGAAATGGAGTGTGGTGGAAGTGGAGAACATTTTAAATATTTCCATACCCTGTTCAAAAACAGTACCACTTTCCCATTCTCTCTCTGTTTCATATGACTTGATTGAAAATTTTTAAACATCGGGTTTGTCAGAGTATAAATTTTTTGCTCTTCGTTACAGTTTTCTCCCGTTTTATTTTGTTCCCCCTTTCCCCAACCCTCTTTTTCTTCTTCTTCTCCCTAGGGTCTGGATGCAGATAGTCTCCGTGTGGAACCACTGGGAGAAGACAATTCTGGGGCACTCTATTGGTATTTCTATGGAACACGAATGTACAAGGAGGACCCCGTACAAGGAAAATCCAATGGAGAAATCTCTTTGAGCAGGTACATTCTTCAAGGGCAGGGTTGCAATAGCTATTTTATAAAAATGTCCTTAAGAGTAAATGCAACAGTAAACTTTCACCTAAAGCACAATTTAAAAAAAAAAAAGAGTGACTGCATCAGAATTCTACAGCACATTTTTCAATTTTTTCCTAATGGAGGAATTAGCTGTAACCACATGCGTGCAAAGAAGTGGCAAAGAGTAATACAAAAATAAAAAGGAATTAATCTGTAACCTCTCCTACCAGTGGTAAAAGATACTATTTTTTGATACGAGGTTCCTGAAGAACATCACTACCCTTAGCACAGACTATTCTATTCAGCCAAGCTTCTTGTCAGCAGTACATTGATTTTACCGTTACTGTTTTCATCTTTCATAGTCAGTCACTGAGAATACCTTTTTTTCTTACTAGAATTGAGTATCTTCTTTATTAACCTTAGGAGCCATCACTAGAAGGACCTTAAAAAAAATACCTGAAGCATAAGCCTCCCTAAATGTTTCCTAAATGAGGAAGGGACCTCCTTTCCATAGCATCCCCGAAAGATACTAACCTCTTGTTTTATTTAGACTTTCTTACTGCTAGGAGTAGTGGTCATTATTAGGAAGGTATTAGGTTTTACTCAGATCATAATATTGCAAAATGTCAGTTTTCCTTGGTTCCCTGTGACTGCTGCATTTAATCCTTTTTTGGTAAGCTCATGGCCAGAAATACCATAATTACTAATTTAAAAATCATATATAACACATCAGTCCTATGCCTGAACATTTCTGTTTATTATGCTATTTATTAGGGAAAGTGAAGGACAAAAAAATGTCTCAAATGTTCCTGGAAAAACAGGAAAAAGAAGAGGAAGACCTCCAAAACGGAAAAAACTACAGGAGGAGATTACAGTGAGGTAAGAAAATCTTGTTAGTCTGTGGGCATAGACCCTCTTGCTGGACAAGACCTTAGATTTCACTTGTTTATCATCCCTACTTTTTTCTCCTGCCATGGAGAGGGCATTGAGCTTGGAGTATGGAAATCTGGATCAGTCCTCATGAAGTTACTGAGCGTGCACTAGGGAATCAGGAAGCCGTAACTGGGTGAATTCTAGCAAATTATCTTCGACAATGGGATACTAATTGTCGTTTATTGGACAATGGAATACTAATGAGGATTAAATTGACAATGCATGTGACAATGTAAAGAATTCAAAATCATGCATGATCCCCATAGTAAGTGCTTTTAAAACTTGATGTACCGGACGTTTTTTTACAGAAGGTTGAAGCAAGTTCTATAATTGTGTTGACATATATGAACATTGTAATAATATTGTGTGTCATATCTGAGTTTGTTAATTCTTTCCAACTAAGCAGATTTTAGTAGCAAGCATGCCCCAGCATGCTTTGTTTTAAAAAGAAACAGTAAAATCTTAAACATTTTTATACTTAATTATAGCAAGGAAAAAGAAATTCTGTTATATTTGAAAAATTTCATTTTTTGCATCTACTAACAACATTTTATATATTCTTTGTCATTGTCTTTTAGGAAGTGCTACCATATAAATCTCGGTGTTTAGACTCTGACCTATACTGCCAGATTTATCATTATAAACCTATGGAAATTAGGCCATATTCTTGAAAATTTTAATAACACGGGGCAAACAGCTTCTTCCCTGTAAATTTTAGAACTCCTTATCTTAATGCTTAAATTAGGCCAGATCTCACTGTTGCTTATTAACCACTGAGAAACATTTCTAGGACGTGAGGTTATGAATCAATCAGTTAGAATTTGATTTTTAAAACTCAGTTTTACTTAACTTTCCAGAAAGTTGACTGCAGATTGCAGCCGCCTGTTTCAGCAGATCTTGTGAGAAATGTCTTATAATCATTTATGTTCTATACACAGACCATCTACCTCTTGATTTTATTAGAGGTGCAACCCTTATATATTGAGAAAGCTGTTTTATATCTATCTCCATTTCCATTTATATACTAACAATTAAAGTGTCTTAGTGTTGGGAATATAGAATCATTTAACTAGCATATGTGGACTTGTGCTACCCTCTGCTGGTGATTTTAATCCTTAAGAACTCTGCATCCAATGTGGCATTTAAATATATGACATTTAAATTTAAATATTTTTTAAATTAAAATTTAAAATTCAGTTTCTCAGTCACATTAGCCACATTTCTAATGCTCAGTAGCCACGTGTGGCTGTGGTTACCCTATTGGACAGCACCAATAAAGAATATCTCCATCCTCACAGATAGTTCTGTTGGAGAGCACTGCTTTAGATACTTGAAAAAAAAAAAAGTCCGTAGAGAATGTCCTGTAGGTTTCAGAGACACAGATGATAATACTTTAACACTGTTGTTTTGAGCACTTTTGCATTTTGTGATTTAATCCCCCCAGTGTCTATGTTAGGCAGGCTCTACAAATAGACCCATTTTACAGGAAAGTTAATGAACTTTCCTAAGGTTACATGGTGAGTGGCAGAGCTTGGCTAGAGGGAGTCTGACTTCAGAGCCCATGTTCTATCCCTCTAACTTAAATGAGGCTAAATTAAATATGCCTTATCTTCAGTGTAACCCTGAAACAGGGAGGACGTTGGAATTCCTACTTTTTTTGAGTGGGGGGGTTAACAATTAACGCTTAACTCATCTGTTTGATTTCTAAAAAGTGTTTTTAAAGTTACGTTGAGTACCTATATATCATTACCTGGGGGATAAATATATCTTCTGCTCTATACTGACACCTCTGCATTCTGGTGTTCGTTGATTCCATAGAGTAGTTTCTTCTCTTAACCTTGCCTCCTTGACATGCACATGCAATCCTTGTATTAAGCTAACTGGGTTTACCTTCTGGGGGAAACAGAACAATTTTGAACATGTCTTTGTTTTAACCGATGCCTCTTTTTCCTGTGTTTCAGTGAAAAGCAGGAAGAAAACTCCTTGGCATCAGAGCCACAGACAAGAAATGGTAATGACCTTTGCTGGAGTTTAAGTTTAGATTAAGTAAACATGATTAATGTATATTATGATGATGACTTTGTTGTTTTCCAGAGTCATACAAAGTTAAGATTATTCCAGTAGTCTTCTAATAAGCCTTCTTACTCCACTTCAGTTCTCTCTTCCCGAAACCTGATTGTGTGTCCATTTCTCCATATCTGGTAGACAAATTGGGACCAAGACTAGGTCTTTTCATGTTTGTACTCTATTCCTAGGCACAGTGTAATAAACACTCAGACTTTGAAGGAATGAGTAGTTTCTCCAAGAGCAATCTTTTTAATGTCCAATGCTTTACTGCGTAAGGAAGTATACTGGTTTCCTATGTAGATTTCAGTTTTATAAATTTGGAGGAAGTACAGATTTATAACATTATAGCCTACATGAGAGAAGGTAGGCTCTGTAAAAGCGCAAGCTCAAAAAGCATTTGTGTAGAAAAGTAGATACATTTAAGCATTTCTAGGGCACTGAAAGGAGCCCTAGTGGCACAGTGGTTAAGAGCTTGGCTGTTAACCAAAAGGTTGGCAGTTCAAACCCACCAGTCACTCCATGAGAAAAAGCTGTGGCAGTCTGCTTCCATATAAAGATTTGCAGTCTTGGAATCCCTATGGGGCAATTTTACCCTGTCGTATAGGGTCTCTGTGAGTTGGAATCGACTCAAGGGCAACAGGTTTGGTTTTTGGTTAGGACACCAAAAGGAGTCCCCCCTCGGTTGCTCAAACAGTTAAGCGCTTGACTACTAGCCAGAAGGTTGGTGATTCGAACCCACCAAAGGAGCCTTGGAAGACAGGCCTATTGATCTGCTTCTGAAAGGTCACAGCCTTGAAATCACTGAGTAGTTCTGCTCTCAACACATGGGGTCGCCTGAGTCGGAATCGATGTGATGGCAGCTAACAACAGAGCACTAAAGTTCTGTCTTATGGTGGTCACGACAGTTACATTTGTATTTGCCTTTAGGCATTCTTAACATTTAATTGTAAACAGTAACAGTAGCAGGAAAACTAAAACTATACTCTGAACCTTAAAATAAAAAATTAATAAGCCTCCTCTTTTTCTGACTCCCTGGTTTTAGTTATGACCCTGGATGAAAGTAAAATTGAGCATAAATAGGAAGAAAGGTCCTAGTAGAATATAAGGTAGTGAACCTGTCCCTTTCTTTCTAGGGTCCCAAGGGCCAGGCCAAGGCACTTGGTGGCTCCTGTGCCAAACGGAAGAAGAATGGAGACAGGTCACTGAGAGTTTTCGAGAGAGGACCTCCCTGCGAGAACGGCAACTCTACAAGCTCCTCAGTGAGGACTTCCTGCCCGAGATCTGCAACATGATTGCCCAGAAGGTATGTAAACACTGACCAGTGCTTGCTCCCCTCAGTGTTAGGTGTGATTATTAATTAGAACCTTTGAATACGTTCCCATTGCCTGGGAGTTTGTGCAGGCCTTCTTCCTCTCTCAGCTGGACTCTTAAAATGGGACTTTGTGCCACCCACTCTCTTTCACTGTGAGTTGGTCATATAATGTTCTCCCTACCCTTAAGAAGTTCTCAGTGCTCATGAACCCCAGTAAGCACAATGGCTTTTCACAATCTGAAACCAACATTCCTTCTCCCACTACCAGAAGAAAAAAAAAAACCTAGCCCATTTCTGCTGAGTCGATTCTGACTCTTGGAGACCTATAGCACAGAGTAGAACTGTCCCATGGGGTTTCCAAGGAGCAGCTGATGGACTGGAACTACTGGACCTTTTGGTTAGCAGCCAAACTCTTAACCACGGTGCAACCAGGTCTCCCACTGCAGTCCTTAGGAAATACAGGCAGTCCTCGGGTCATTGCCCTTTAATGTTATGTAAGTTTGCCCTCCCTTTGAAACAGTTGCAACAGATTCTTCTTCACAGTCGTCTATACTTGGTGCATGTGCAGCTTTTAAATCATTGACTAGGCCAGAGTAATGCTAAATAAGAACCATATGCGCCTGTTCTGACTTACCTACAAGTTGGGCTTACAGACACAGTTAGGAACAGATGTCAACCCAGAGGACTGCCTGTAGTCCCTGAGCCCCCAGAAGTGTCTCATATCATCTTGTCCATACCTGTATATATGTATTTTTTGAAAATCGTCTATGGGTCTGTCTGTCTCACATTAAATACTTTGTAGCTTCAGTGCCAACGCTGTTCCTGGCTCTCCCTGAGTCACATGCGCCCTCTTCTCCAACTTCACAGGGCAACTTGTAGTTTCATAAACATTGTGCCCTATATTTTCATCAATTTATACTTATTTATGACATTTGCAAACATTTTTCCCCCTCCACCTCCTTGCTCATTTGAATACTTCTCTCTCAAAGGCCTCAGTTAAATGTCACTCCCTCTAGGAATTTTCCATTTCTCCCAGTAATAGGATTTTCTTCTCTACATGTTTCCTTGTGCCTTACTTTATTTCAGTGTGAGTTGTTTAAGCTTCTTCAGCTTAGGGACCAAGTCTTACTCATCTTTTTAACCCACGTAGCAGCTACTGTAATGCCTTATCTGTGGTGAAATACTCAATATTCAGTGAGTTTGCTTATTTCATTGGAATAATGTGAATACTGCTGATTGTTAATCATGTTAATACAGAAGAATTTGACTAGCTTCCAATGAAATCTAAAGAGAAAGCATTTATAAATTATTGTTGTAATAACCTCTTAATTCTTTGTGAGTCCAATGATATTTCTAACCTTTAAGCAGGTTGATACTTTAGGGAAAGTTTCAGAAACTCACCTTTCTCTCTAATAGCAGAAGCTTATAAATAGTCGTATAAATATAGTCACAACTTAGATTGTCATGGATAATCAAGAGAATCTGCATTTCCCTGTCAATATACTTAATTCCATATAAGACGATCATTGCTCATAGTTTTTGTGATCTGCAACCCACTGTGACAATTTTTTCCAGGAATTGAAATATGTAATCTAATTTTCTTAAAGTAACTGTGATGTAAAGAGAAAGTTTTATGACTCTACATGATCTTTTACGTGATTTTATTGTTATGACCAATGATGGCACATTAAATCATTTGTAAATCATATGCCAAGTCAACTAATTTATAATTTCTGCTTTTTTACTACAATATTCAGTGTAGGATTTTAGGAGGTGGGTATAAATAATAAATAACCTTATAAGCATGAAACTGGTGATATTGATATAAAAAAAATCAAATTGATTCTTTGCAAGAGAAGAAAAAACTAAGATAAACCTTAAATATAATTTTCAAGAGCCATGAAAATTAGAAACCAAAAAGAGAAACAATATATTTGAGAGTTTTAAAAGAATATAATGCTCTAAATTTGATAACCTCAGTGGAAAATGGATAATTAACTACAAAAATAAGAGAAATCTAAATTGTGCACGAGGGAATCTCAGCAGACCAATAATAGGGAAGAAGTGTTTTCACAAAAGGATCCCCATCAGAAGCTCCAGAGCCAGTTGGATTTACTCACAGGTAAAATTTTCTGAAGTTTCAAGGAAAGGATGATCTCCAAGCAATTTCAAAAATGAAGAAAGAAGTGGGAAGCTTACGCATTCAGTAATATAAATGTTAAGTTCTTAACACTAGGAAATAAAAGCCATCTCTCCACCAAAAGAATAATACATCATAACCCATCAAGGTTAATCCTAAGAATGGAATGCTAGTAGTATTGTTTTGGAAGTCTCGACCAGTGTAATATAACAAAAAAAGAAGTGGCAAATTTTTAGAATGTTTAACTTGGAAGAATATAAATCTGTTTTAAATGTCTATTCTTTAGAATTTAGTAATGATGCTCGGTAGCTACATCAGTATCATCTGGCATGCTTATAAAAATTGCCACTCTACGACTACCTCCATTAGAGTCTTTAAAGGTGATATCTGATGATCTGTAGTTGTAGAAGCTCTTCAGGTTATTCTCATGCATACTAAGATTTAAGAACCACTGAAAATAAACCCATTACAACAGCAGCAAAGCAAATTTTGAATAAACTTAACTAGAGCTGTGCATAAACAAACAAACCAAAAAACCAAAGCCATTGCTGTCAAGTCAATTTCAACTCATAGTGACCCCATAGGACAGAATAGAACTGCTCCATAGGGTTTCCAAGGAGTGGATGGTGGATTTGAACTGCTGACCTTTTGGTTAGCAGCCAGTCTCTTAACCATTGTGCCATCAGGGTTCCACTGAGTTGTGCATAGTATATAAGGGGAAAAAAAGCCACAATGCTATTAGTAGATACACATTTGTACAGTCTTGTGGAGATGGTGAGACCTATTTGCTCGTGGAAGGAAAGAGTAAAGTTAGATGCCTATATTCACCAAGATAAATGGAGAGTTTTTATAACCTTAGCCAAATTTTAGTCTAAAACAACAGGTGAATGTAAAGTATTGTAAAATAGGAGCAATCAAGTGACTAGCCCTACAGTATATTAACAGATAATTCAGTATGTTAAAAGCATTGTCAGTGGGCCTTCATGTAATAGACCCCAAAACCCTTTGCCTTCAAGTTGACTCCAACTCATAGTGACCCTATAGGACAGAGTGGATCTGCCCCATAGGGTTTCCAAGGAATGGCTGGTGAATTTGAACTCCCAACCTTTTGGTTAGTAGTTGAGTTTTTAACCTCTGCGCCACCAGGGCTCCTTTAATAGACCAGTTAGAGTGAATGGTTTTGCTTAAGGCTGTACAGATTTATCAAATGTTAGGTATATTTGCACTTGGCATCCACCAATTGAGTTCTGTGTTCATTAACAGTTAATTGTAACATTTTTACAAACCTGTTCGTGCTTGTTGTACTTATTATTGTAACTGGACAGTTAGTTGTCTTGAAACCAATAAAATATGAGCATAAAAAGTTTCTATAGAAAGTCTTTTAAAAAATCAGTAAAGATGAGTTGCTTTTAAAAAGTGTACTGTCAGATCAGTGTAAAACAACTGAAAGATTAGGTTAGGGGGAAACATTAAAATGCAGAAAGTTTCTGCATTTGTTTTGCAAACGTCCTTAAGTTCTCATTTCACTTAAAAAAGCAGAAACAAACTAGAAAACCAGATGAAGGCTGAAGAGGGTGGTTTAAGTGAAAGTATCACAGAACCCCCATCTGTGAAACCATAATCAAAGGAAAGAAGGACCTTGGCCTTACATCATAGGTTTGGTGAATGCAATTACATTTATACATTAAATTAAAATACATGTTAGAGGCTTTTTTTTAAAATTCCTTGCTTTTAACTGACTGTTACTCTACCACTTTCCATCCTAATTGCATAGCCCAAGAGTGATTGTGTTCTATTAATGAAAAGCCAGTGATTCAGATGTGAAAATTGAAATAGATCCGTGGAACAGAATGTGTTGCTCACAAATAGACTCTGTGATATATTAAAATATAGTACGTAAAGGAAGCAGTATACAAAGGGTTAATGTGGTGTAGTGGAAGTGAATTGTGGCATTGCCCACAATTAATTAATTGCCCATTACTTAATTTCTCTGATTTGTATTTTCTTATCAGTAAAATGAAATGCTATCACTTCACTGAAGTTTCTGTGAGAATTAAAGAATGAACCCATGTTAGTGTACCTAGCACAGTACTGAGTAATCAGTAGGCGCTCACTTCCCTTCATAGTTTATGGTGACAGATAATTGATGAGATATCTTGATAGAAAACTAAATCCACATTTCTTGACAAACTAAATGTAAGTCAGAAGAGAGCTAAGCACATTTGATGAGTCTTTGGAGGTATGATGGCCCTCTAAATTTTGAAATAATAAAAAAATCAGAAAGTAAGGCCTGCTCTGACCATTTGACTTTTATGATGAAGTTTAAATAAATGGAAAAAATAAACTAGTGAAAGTATTTATGTGGCAACTGGTTTTAAAAGTATTTATAGCTAGTCTTATGGACAGTAATATTTAGACAGCTTATAAACATTAGGTCCTAAATAGATACACTGATTAGGGTATAGATGGTTCACACAACATGATAACAAAATATGTAAGGAAACACGTTTACCCTCCTTGTCAGGAATACCACCTTCCTCATTAATCTTTTATCCAGTTTCACAAAGTTGATGTGAAGCTGATATTTGCCTCTTGCTAACAACATTGCAAACTGGTACAGTTCCTTTGGATGACAGTTCCATGGTAAGTTTTTATGTTCATTTAAAGTTGAAGAGATCTTCCTATTGGGGTCTTGAAGCTTATAAAGGAGATTTTCATAGGCATATTTGAAGAAACAGCTAGGGTAGCTTTAGGACGAAGCTACTTAGTTTCATGACACCTTTTGATAATTGGGATTTCATTTGCACTTGGACCCAGTAATTCTGTATCTTAGATACAGAAAAGCCTTCTAAAGCTACTCTCTCATTAAATCTACCACCATTGCTTTGTGTAGTAGCTTTAAGAATATAAACCACCCCTTATTGTCACTGAGGTTTATCCATCCTTTGCTCTCTTTCTTACCTCATTGATACTTCACAGAGTCTCAAGATTTTGGATTAAGTAGTATCAAAACGAAACCCAAATATTTTGATATTGAAAGCACAGAAGTTAAACATTGTTCTAGCTGCACGGCTCTTGCTTACTGCCTCTTAATAGTAGATTGCAATGGTGAACCTGTGGGACTCAATCCACAAAAATTCCAAAACTTAGATGTACTAATAAATATTGGCCTCCAGAATAATTACCAAGCTTTAGCTAGCTCTTGAAACTCCTCCTTTGAAGAGATATTTCCTACAGCAGTCGCTTTCAAGCCACTTCAGTTTTCTCAGAACACTAATCTTTTCTTTTTCTCACTCCTACTTTGGTTCCCACCCTTGAGGCTGCTCTCACTTGTCACTACTTATCATCACTGATCTGGCTTTTAAAGGGGAGGTTTACCTCCAGCTGCTCGCAGTACCCTTTTAAATCCATTGCCTTCAGCTGAAGGTGATCAAACATGACTTTGCCTTAATAATTTGGACCAGAACTTATTTTTTTATGTTTAAACCATTAAGGAAGCTTTTTGCCAGTGAATAAAACTACCAAAGAAGACACTTAGTTGTCTGCTTATAAGTTCTTCTTTATTTAAAAAAGAGAGAGAGAATCAACTGGCTTGGTACCTTGTGGAGTTTAATAATCATTCTCACTGACTGTCCTGAGGATACCTTTGGCCTCCATCTTAGGTAAAGCTATCACCCGGGTACCTTAACGGCATCCATCCATTCGCTCTTCTGCTGACAGCAGCAGTAGCAGTAGCTGAGAACACCCTAATGTATCTTTTCCTCACTTCCAACTATAGGGAAAGCATCCATAGCACACAAAAGCAGAGTTACAACCCAGGTGGATGTCTGACCACCTGTCTGTCAATTCCGTCAAGCATGAGGTGAGCGTGAGAGTAGAGATAACAAGTTTTAAGTGTTCAAAAAGAATTGTTCCATTTGATATACTAATTTTAGTTCTGCTGCTTACCTTTGCATCATTTATCTCAAATCTTTATGGAGCGCTCTTATACATAAATACCTTTCTAAAAAGGAAAGAATTATAAAAGTCCAAATAAAACATGAAGTCTTATGGATCTTTACAGTCTCCTGGGGTGATAGATACATATATGTATTTAATCTAATATAGATGATCATTATAAGTACTATAGTAGATATAAGGTGCCCTGGTGGTGCAGTGGTTAAGCACTAAGCTGCTAATCAAAGGGATGGTAATTTGAACCCACCAGCTACTCTACAGGACAAAGATGTGGCAATCTGCTTCCATAAAGATTATAGGCTTAAAAACCATATAGGGCAGTTCTCCTCTGTCCTATAGGGTCACTATGAGTTGGAACCGACTTGACAGCAGTGGGTTTTGTTTTTGTTTTGTTTTGTTTTGTTTTATAACTGATAATGTATATAATAGAAGTTCGTGAATGCAAACATGGAAGGAATTACAGCTGGGCAAAGAAGGGAGAATTGAGGCAAGCAGGGCTGTGTTTGACCTGAGCTGAATAGCATGACTGAGATTTTCATGAGTGGACAATGAGGGTGGAGGAGTTGTGGCAGAGGGTATTCCACATTGCAGGAGTAACTTAAACAACAGCACAGAGGCAGGGAAGTGTATCATGTGGTCAGAGAACAGTGTATATTCACATGTGGCTGGGATGTAGAATTATGTTGTAATATATAGTGGACTCAGACCTCCAGCTTTTCAGTTAGCAGCCTTAGCATGTTAACCTTTTGCATCACCCAGGGAATTGTAGTTTTACTTTAGACCCTGTCATTGGCTGACCTGCTACTTTGTGGAGCCCTCTTACTGCCTGACATAATGTTTTCATGACTCTTACACTGAAGTGACACGATGGTATGTTATAGAAATTTTGTCAACTAAATATATTCTACTTTGAGCCTTGAAAAGGGAAACACTAATTTTTAAATTCGTATTTACTACAATATAGTTTAACATTTATATCTTTTTTCACCAAATTGGTGTTTTCTTGCCAGGAATTAAATTGCCCAACATTTAATTGCCTTTGGATTGGCAATTCTGTAATGACAGGCTTCTGGTCTCTCCAGTCACTTATTCCCCCTAGTGTCTCATTTTGGAATGGTCTTTGGTAATTGGTATCCAGCCAGAGTTGGTCCTCTCCACTGTCTTGTTACCTTGTCAGTTAACACTTCCTTGAAAGCTCCCTTTTTCCTGTTTTCTCTTCCTTGCCCTGGGCCGAGTCCTAAATGCCACTTCAGATTGCATAGTCAGTATTTACCAAAATTATAGCAAGCAAAAGCTTAGCATCAACCCCTAACAGTTCTTGTTTTAGTGATTCTTGGCTGTTGTTTCTTTCTTTTTTTTTTTTTTTTTTAATTCTGCTCTTTAGTCTTAGATACAAGTAACCAGGGTTTTATAAAGATTCTTAATACCTGTTATCATACCAAAAATTATGGAGAAAACCTTAGTGGTAACATGAGTTGTGCTTTTGTTTCAACAGCAGTCTTCAGGCCTATAAAGCCTACAGGCAGGGTTTCCGACCTATATTGGTCAACCAGGAGTCCAGTCTTACCGCCTCACAAACTCTTTTAATTGTGACTCCTGGGGAAAATAGCAGTGAAGAGAGACTGTCTCTCTGAAGTCTGGGATTAGGGCTGTAGTGGTTATTTCAGTCAAGAGACTCTGGACATTGCTAGGGAGCTCTTTGTGGTGGTACAGTCTCAAGTGTGCTTCTACAGTTGGTAAAGGTGCCAGTGAGTCTGATAATCTACCCTTGGGGGGTGGTGTGTGTGTAAGGGGTGTCATGGACACTGTGTAAACTAGATTCTGTTTATAATCCTTTAGAGGATTTCAAAATGGTGTTTCTAATTAGCTTCTCATTAAAATCCCCACCTTGATTTTAGCAGGCTGCTTTCTTGTCTACGAAGCATTTAAACACCAGTCCTTAACCCATTAGCAACTGACCCCTTTTAAAGAAAAAAAAAATTGCAGTGTAAGACTGTAAGATTTGTTTTTAAACTGTTCATCATTTTTGTTTGCTTTTTGCTTTTTGTTTATTTGGCTGTACTTGTTCTTTAATAGTTAAAACATTACCAAAAGTGTCTTCAGATAGTCCTGTCCTTTCTTTATACTTTCTTTACCTTGTGGTGGTGTAGGGCTATGAGTTAGCTGGGGATTTTAACATAGATTCTTGCTGCACAGCATAGTTTTGTTGTTTTAGATGTATGTGATGCAGTTTATATAAAATAATAATTGTTGATAATTATATCCGATGAGCCTACTAAAATTATAACACATTATGATGAAAGAGAAAAGAGCTTAAGAAATGTGAGACAAAGAGGTCTGCAACTAAACAGGTGTCTTCAACTGCCGGGAAAATACTGAGGTGGGAGACATTCTAGAGAAAGTGATCTGAGAACAGGGAGAGTTAAGACAGGTGGGCCAGTTGCATAGGGCCCCAACTGGGCAAAGGCAGTCAAGCCAAGGCCAGAATAGGTTGTTGACTCTCTTTCTTACTTCTCTCTACTAGATTTTACTCACTTAGCAGAGCCTTAAGTTTGTTTCTTTAAGATGCTGTAAATTCAGATTATTTTATCATATTTTATGTGCTTAGCTTAAATCCTAATGTATTTAAAAATCAACTAACTATAGAAGATAATCTTTATATATTTTTTAATGACATAGAGCCTGTTTAATAGAGTGACAGTCATTTACATTTACGGTTTTCCTGAGTTTTAAAGTTCTTGTTCATTGTTATCAAAATGCCTTAAATTCTTTTAATCAATTTTTAATACTTCACCGTAAAAATCCACAAGTTCTTTTTTGTACTTTTGACATATTTTAATTTTTTAAAATTTAACAGAGATCACTGAATATATAATGACAGAAAAAACCAAACACCCGTTGCTGTCGAGTCGATTCCGACTCATAGCGACCCTATAGGACAGAGTAGAACTGCCCCATAGGGTTTCCAAGGAGCAGCTGGTGGATTTGAACTGCCACTGTTTTGGTTAGCAACCTGCCTCTTAACCACTGCATCACCAGAGCCCCAATGACATAGTGGAGGAATTAAAAAGTTAATAAAAAATTAGTCATTTGGAACATGTAATACTAGTTGATTTCCTCAGTTAATTGGGGGAGGGGCTCTTCTCAATCCAAAAGAATCAAATGCTGTTATAGAAAACTTGGAGACTGTAGAAAGCTGTAGAAGTCATAATAATCCCACAATTTAGGAATTGTTACTCTTTACGTTTTTACATATTTGCTTCAGGCCTTTTTTCTATGCACGTATTACAAAACATACTGAATATTATTTTGTGACCTTGTGCTTTTCATGTAACGTTGTGAGCATTTTCATATATCACTTAAGTATTTACCAGAAACATAATTTTTAATGACCACATAATGATGGTTATGTAGTTTATGTAACCATTCTGTTAAACATTTGGTCTGTTTACAATTTTTTGCTATTTTAAAATAATACTGATTTAAACATACTTAAAGAATTTTTTTATGGTTTATCTCATTTTTAAGATAAAGTCACAGAAGTGTAATTACTCTGTTTAGGGTCTGCTTCAGAAAGGTCAAGCAGCCCTGGTGGTGCAGTGGTTAAAGCGCTCAGCTGCTGACCGAAAAGTCAGTGGTTCAAACCCACCAGCCACTCTGTGGGAGAAAGATGTAGCAATCTGCTTCTATAAAGATTACAGCCTTGGAAACCCTATGGGGCAGTTCTACTCTGTTTTATAGGGTCCCTAAGGTTGGAATCGACTCAACAGCTATGGGTTTGGTTTTCTGAAAGGTCACACAGCTTTGAAAACCCTACGGAGAGAAGTTCTACACTGGAACACGTGGGGTTGCAATGGTTTGAAATCCACTTGACAGCAACTGAGTTTTTGTTTTGATTTTATAGAAATTTGTGACTGTGTATCTTATTTTTAAGATAAAGTCACAGAAGTATAATTACTCTGTTTATGTTCTTGATACATATATGCAGTATGTCTTCCACAGGACTTGTACCCCAGCAGACTGATAGCGCTCATTTTACCACACTTAATAACACTTTTTATCATCTTGATAATTCTGTATGTGAAAAGTTAATTTTTATTTGTTTGATCGTTGATGTGCTTTATCAATCTTCTGTATATTGTGTAGTTCCTTTTGTTCTGCAGAGGAATATTATTAATTGATTTGTAAGATGTCTTTACATATTAAGAATAATAAATCTTTGTCCTGTTTGTTGCAGGTAGAATTATATAGATATTCTTAAGATTTATGTAGTTAGCTCTTTTTCCCTTTTTTCTCCCTTCCACTTAATATATGAAATGCTTCCCATGTTTGTTTACAGAATCAGACTTATATTCCTAAGTCGTTAACCTTCATTTCCTCAGTCCTTATTAAAATGCTGCTTTTATTTAATATCCCCTTATCTTAGTTTGAAGGAAATATATTTTACAACATGTTTAGACCTGAAGTCCTTTGGGTGGGGATAGAATACACATGCATTATCGTTATTATATATATAACTTACGTTTTCCTCTCCATTGTATTTGTGTCTAAAGCACTAAAATTTTCTAGAAGTGAAATAATTTCTTTGACAAGGTTCAATTTACCACTATCTCCCCTCTCCCCACCAGTTAGTCAGTTGATACCTTTATGGTATCTGCTTGGAGTCACTACATAGCTAAAAGGAACAAAGGTCATTTGGTTTAACAGTAGTTCATCACAAGTTCTCACCCAGGTGATCATGTTGCCAGAAAGTTTGTTTGAGTGAGGACCTGGGGGACTGGGGAGGGGGATGGGGAGGGCGAGCTTAGAACGCAGAGAAGTTGTATGACTGGCATTTAGTAGGCATTGACCAGATGTGCAATCTGCCAAGGAACTGTCCTTGCCAAATCCTCCTTTCAGAAACAACATCCATCATATCTCAACTGCCTGCTGTGTTTATAGGGTAAAGAAGATTTTAGAGAACTTTGTTTAATTCGACTTGGTCTAGTGAGACTATGTCCACAGTGTTATGTGTGCAATGATTTTGTCTGTCTATTTTCACTTTCCTGTTCATTCCACATTTTTATCTTGTACATATAAACTCTTTTAAAGTCAGGATCATAGAAACTTGAATGACAAATGACATTGAGAAGGTATACTGTCTATGCAAGACCACCTCTAAATTTTGAATTAAAAGAGAATCTAGTTTTAAGAACCATTAAAAAAATAATGTAAAATTTTCACCAGAAAATATTTTGGTGTTTAATGGTGTCTTAGTCATCTAGTGGTGCTATAACAAATACCACAAGTGGGATGGCTTTAACAAAGACAAGTTTATTCTCTCACAGTCCAGTAGGCTACAAGTCCAAATTCAGGGCATCAGCTCCAGGGGAAGGCTTTCTGTCTCCGTTGGCTCTGGAGGGAAGGTCCTTGTGATACATTAGTCTTCCCTTGGTCTGGGAGCATCTCAGCGCCGGAACCTCAGGTCTAAAGGACGCGCTCTGCTCCCGGCACTGCTTTCTTGATGGTATGAGGTTCCCATGTGTCTGCTTGCTTCTCTGTTTTATATCTCAAAAGAGATGGACTTAAGATAGTATCCAATCTTGTATACCTCATCAGTATAACTGCTGCTAATCCATTTTATTAAATCATAGTGATTGAATTTACAACACATAAGGAAATCACATTAGATTACAAAATGGTACACAATCATACAACACTGGGAATCATTACCCAGCCAAGTTGACAGATATTTTTGGGGGGCATAATTCAATCCATGACAAATGGTAACATGTAAATAGTAATCTGCATATATTTATCTTATTTTTCCCCTTATATCAAGACCACTTGTAACTTCCACACTGTAAAGCTTTTGAAGATTCATCTGATACAGAAGATTTTTTTTTAATTGTGAGAGTTTACAGTGCAAACTAGTTTCTCATTTAGCAATTAATACACAAATTGTTACATTGGTTGCCAAACCCACCATGTGTCAACACTCTCCTCTTCTCCACCCCAGGTTCCCTGTTTCCATTTGTCCAGTTTTCCTGTCCCTTCCTGCCTTCTTGTCTTTGCTCTTGGGCTGGTGTGCCCTTTAGTCTCCTATACATGATTGAACTATGCAGCATGTCTGTCACGTGTGTTATTGTTGGCCCTATACACCTCTCTAATCTTTGGCTGAAGGGTGAACCTCAGCAGTGACTTCTGTACTGAGTTAAAAGGGTGACCGGGGGACATAATCTCAGGGTTTCTCTAGTCTCTTTCAGACCAGCAAGCCTGGTCTTTTTTTTTCTTTTTGAGAATTTGAATTTTGTTCTACATTTTTCTCCCGCTATGTCCAGGACCCTCTGTTGTGAGCCCTGCTACTGCAGTCGGTGGTGGTAACCAGGCAAGATACAAAAGATTAAGTCTTCTTCCTGCTAAAAAGATCTGTTAAGAAAAGCTCCACATTCCTGATTAAATTTTACCTAGATTTGGGTAATTGAACTACACGTTTTCTCTGAGAGTAGCATGAATTTTACTGTCTCTGATTGCGCATAGTTCATTTTTCTGTCTCTCTGCAACGTACAGAGATGTTCTCTTATTGCAGGCAACAGTTATTACCTCTTTATTAACAATAAAAAAAAGTTTTAGCTTTCACATCAGAGCACAGGTTGATGGAACAAATTAAAGTGAACAACTTCAGTTCTAGACTAAACAGTGGCTTAGAACTAGTTATATGGAAAATATGTGATATAAGCTATTCATAAATTATGATGGTTATGGTTCTGTTTTTCTTCATTTACTTTTTTTTAGTGAAAGTATACACAGCCAATGATACTCCATTTCAAGAGTTTCTGCATATACAATTCAGTGTCGTTTTTATTCTTCAAGCTGTGCTACCATTCTTGCTATCCTTTTCCACATTATCCCACAACATTATCTTAAATTCACTGACCCCTAAGCTTCCCATCCAGCTTTTCATGTTGCTATTGTCAATTTGATCTCACATAGATACTTTTTAAAAAGAGGACAGTGTTCATAGGAGGAGGAAATGGATGTGTGGCTAATTGCCTCCTTGAACAACTGCCTCCTTTGCCACGAGACCAGAAGAACTGAATCGTGCCTGGCTACCATTAATGAAAATTTTGACTAAAGATTCTATAGAAGACTCCTGATCAAAAGGAAGGAAATGCAGAACAGAATTTCAAATTCTAATGGAATCCAGGCTTTTCTGGAGCCATGGAGCCTCAATAATCCCATGAGATCACCATGAGATATTCTTGAAATTTTAAACCAAAAATATCCCCTGCAGAGTGGACAACCCCGTGAAACCAAATGGGACTAATGAGGCACAGCAGTCCAGGGACAAGGGCCAGAAGGCAGAAGGGGACAGGAAAGCTGGTAATAGGGAACCCAGCGTTGAGTAAGGATAGTGTTGATGTGTTGTGAGGTTGTTAACCATGGTCATAGGGCAACATGTGTACTAACTGTTAAGTGAGAAACTATTTTGTTCTGTAAACTTTCATCTAAAGTGGGAATAGCAGCACAATTGGAAGAGCGTAGTCCATGTCACTGAACTGTGCATGTAGAAATTTTTGAAATGGTGTATCTTTGGCTATGTGTATTTTCACCCAAAAAAAAAAAAAGAAGTTGAGAAGGGAGACAGTTGACATGTTGTTGGGTTGTTAACCAATGTCATAAAACAACATGTGTACTGCTGTTTCGTGAGAAAGTATTTGTTCTGTAAGCATTCACCTGAAGTACAATTAAAAAAAAAAAAATCCTCTGCAGTCTTAACAACCAAACAGGAGTTTAGCTTAACTAGTAAAGAATGCCTGCCTTGAGCATTGTACTCTTTTCAGATCTGTATGGGATCAATTTGAGAACTGCAACGTGAAAGATTACATAGGAAACTTAGTGTGTAGTGAGTTTATGTTAATGGGGGAAGAACAACACCAAAAAGGAGGATGAGAATGGTTGTACAACTTGAAGAATATAATCGATGTTACTGAATTGTATGTGTAGAAATTGTTGGTTTGGTATATGTTCTGCTGTGTATATTCTGAACAACAATACAAATAAAATTAATTTAAAAACAGTTCAAAGCAGACCTTCTTTACTAATTAAAATAAGCTAATTTTTTGGTTCAAAGAAGAGTTCAGGGGGTAGTTTTCTTGAGTTGGGTTTCTTAGGCAATCACATTTCCATTCACCAACTGAAATCTTGATGTTGAGGTTGTTTGCATTTTAAAAAGGGGGAAAATTCTAGTTGATCTTTGAGTAATTATGAATTTCTTTCGCAGTCTCTTACATACCTTTTCTGTATCTTAAGCATAATGGTGGCTTCTCTCACCAAACGCCTAATCTTATTATTTGGCTAATGAAAAAAAGTCTAAAAGTTACGGGTTTCAAAGTCACACACATTTTTGAAATTGTGAGTCTTGTCTTCTGCCTAGTGACTGTCTTTCATCCTTAATATACTTAGATAAGGATGGTTTTTAAAACTTCACTTTTATCAAATATTAAACCTAAAAGAATGACGTATATCTCAACTGCCTCATTTTCTCTTCTTCTATCCACCATATTATTTCATTAGATTATCTCCTAAGGACTACAGCTTATATAATTATGTAAATCATTGGACCTAAAACTTTTACCCTGTTTTAAATCTCCACTGTGTGTGTATTTTTCTTTAAATTTGAAAACTTCATTTTTTAATTAATATGAAGTTCACACAGTATAAAATTAACCATTATAAAGTATACAATTCAGTGACGTTTAGTATGTTCACAGTATTGTACAACCATCACCCCACCTCTGTCTAGTTCTGAGACGTTTTCATTAATCTGAAAGGAAACCTCTGATCCATTAAGCAGTCACTCCCCATTCAGCCTTCTACCCAGCCCTTGGCAATCACTAATCTGTTTTTTGTCTCTATGGCTTTACCTATTCTGGATAGCTCATAGAAACAGACTCATACAATATGTGACCTTTGTGTGTGGCTTCTTTCACCTGGCAATAATGTTTTCTAGGTTCATTCACGTTTTAGCATGTGTCAGGACTTTATTCCAATTTTTTCACGTCCTCACCAACACTTGTTATTATCTGATATTTTTGTTTGTTTTGCTTTTATTTTTGTTGTAGTCATCTTCATGAGTGTGAAGTGGTATCTCATTGTGGTTTTCATTTGTATTTCCCTAGTGACTAATGATTTATCATCTCCTCAATGTTGGTGTGTTTACATGTTTACATATATCCGTGCATCCATATATATATATTTACAGATGATGAAATCGGGTGTATTTGCATTATCAATTCCTTGTCTATCCAGTATTATTTATTGACTAGACCAAATTTAATAAATAGAATTTTATTCAGAGCAAAGAACTCGTCTTGCATTATAGGTATTGACTTGATACGCTTATTGGCTTCTCATAGGAAACTCCTGTGCTTACCAGAATAGAAAAACAAAAGCGCAAAGAAGAGGAAGAAGAACGTCAAATTCTTCTAGCTGTGCAGAAGAAGGAGCAGGAACAGATGCTAAAGGAAGAGAGGAAACGGGAGTTGGAGGAAAAGGTCAAGGCAGTAGAAGGTATGTGCGCTTCCTGTGTAGTCCGGAGTGGTGTGTGTATTAATGGGATAGCCCTCCTGTGACCAAAGCCGAATCAAGCTAAGTCCCATCATTTATCTAAGCTATTTCTGGCAATGCCTATTTAAATATCTTGTGAATTGTTTTTTGGCGTGTTTGTTTATCTGTATCCAGCAGTCTTGTTGCCTCTGCATTCCTGCTAAAGCACTTGTATTTGTCATTCTTGCTGTGCCTTATAGTCTTGCTTGTTGCTCTGATCTCTGCTATATCCCACTTGTAGAATAGAAGAAAGTAGTAAGGTATCAAAGCCAGCTAATCTCACAGACCACCAGTCGTCTGTCAGTTTGTCATACTATGGTGGCTTGCATGTTGCTGTGATACTGGAAGCAATGCCGCTGGTATTTCAAACACCAGCAGGGTCACCCATGTTGGTCCGGTTTCACTGGAGCTTCCAGATTAAGATAGACTAGGATGAAGGACTTGGTGATCTACAAAAATTGGACATTGAAAACCTTATGAACAGAAATGGAATGTTGTCTGATACATTGCCAGAAGATGAGCCCTTCACGTCAGAAGGCACTCAACAATACAACTGGGGAATAGCTGTCTCCACAAAGTAGAGTCAACCTTAATCATGTGGAGGGAGTCAAGCTTTTGAGACCTTCATCAAACGATGTATTGCACTGGGCAAATCTGCTGCAAAAGACCTCTTTAAAGTGTTAAAAAGCAAAGATGTCACTTTGAGAACTAAGGTGTGCCTGACCCAAGCTGTGGTATTTTCAGTCGCCTCATATGCATGGGAAAACTGTACACTGAAAAAGGAGGGCCGAAGAAGAACTAATGCCTTTAAATTATGGTGTTGGCCACAACCGGACTAAACCAAAACTAAAAAGTTTCCTGAATACAGTCAAACACTTTGAGGGACAGAGCTGCAGGGACAGGAGTCTGGGGACCATGCTTTCAGGGGACATCTAGGTCAATTGGTACAACAAAGCTTATTAAGAAAACGTTCTGCATCCTACTTTGGTGAGTGGCATCCGGGATCTTAAAACCTTGCAAGCGGGCATCTAAGATGCATCAGTTGGTCCCAACCACCTGGAATAAAGGAGAATGAAGAACACCAAAGACATAAGGGAAGTATTAGCCCGAGAGACAGGAAGGGCCACATAAACCAGAGACTTCATCAGCCTGAGACCAGAAGAACTAGACGGTGCCCGGCTACCACCAATGACCTGCCTGACAGGGAACACAACAGAGAGTCCCAGATGGAGCAGGAGAGAGGTGGGGTGCAGAACTCAAATTCTAGTAAGAAGACCAGACTTTATGGTCTGACTGAGTGAGAGTGGAGGAACCCCAGAAAGCATGGCCCCTGGATTCTCTATCAGCCCTGAACTAAAACAATTTCCAAGGCCAACTCTTCAGACAGGGATTGGACTGGACTGTGGGACATAAAGTGATACTCGTGAGGAGTGTGCCTCTTAGCTCAAGTAGATACAAGAGACTAAACAGGCAGCTTCTGTCTGGAGGTGAGATGGGAAGGTAAAGAGGGTTAGGAGCTGGTTGAATGGACATGGGGAATCGGGTGGAAAGGAGGAGTGTGCTGTCACAGTATGGGGAGAGCAATTACAGTCACATAACAATGTATGTATAAATTTTTGTATGGGAAAAAATAAAAAATGATGGTGTTGGCAGAGAACATTGAATATACTGTGGACTGCAAGAAGAACAAACAAGTCTTGTGTTAGAGGAATCACAGCCAGAGCACCCCTTGGACACAAGGATGGCGAGATTTTGTCATCCTTTACGTACTTTGGACATGTTACCAGGCGGGACCAGTCCTTGGAGAAGGGCATCATGCTTGGTAAGGTAGAGGGTCCACAAAAAAGAGGAAGACCCACGCAAAATGGATTAACACAGTGGCTGCAACAGTGGGCTCAAACATAGCAGCAACTGTGAGAATAGCGTAGGACTGGGCAATGTTTCATTCTGTTGTACATGAGGTCACCATGAATTGGAACCAACTCTATGGCACCTAAGAACAACAAGAGCAGTGTCACAGAAATATTTTGGATGCAAATGAGAATACCTTAGAAAAGCCTTAAGAGTTTCTTCTTGTTGTTATGACACTATAAAAATCTAAAATATTAACGTTAATATTACTAGGGTGAAGTACTTGTCTTAGACCCAAGTTCAGGTGTTGGTCGAATGAGATTTTTCTTTTTTTACATTTAAACTTACAGGATTTATTTCTTGAGAGGAAAATGTAGTGAAGAAAGAATTTAACACCAGTTTTTGTGATCAGTTATGTTAATTTTAAAATTTGTAGTGTGTAAGTGGTAATCTTAAGCTAAAACACTCTGATGAAATGAAGTGAGTTAATAAACGTTGCCAGAAATTCAAGCTGAATTCAGAAGAGGATGTGGAATGAGGGATGTCATTGCTGATATCGGATTGACCCTGACTGAAAGCAGAGAATACCAGAAAGATGTTTACCTGTGTTTTATTGTCTGTGCAAAGGCATTCGACTGTGTGGATCATAACAAATTATGGATAACATTGCAAAGAATGGGAATTCCAGAAAAGTTAATTGTGGTCATGAGGAACCTGTACAAAGATCAAGAAGCAGTTGTTCAAGCAGAATAAGGGGACACTGCATGGTTTAAATTCAGGAAAGGTGTGCGTCAGGGTTGTGTCCTTTCACCATGCTTATTCAATCTGTATACTGAGCAGATAATCCAAGAAGCTGGACTATATGAAGAAGAACGGGGCATCAGGATTGGAGACAGACTCATTAACAACCTGCGTTATGGAGATGACAAAACCTTACTTGCTGAAAGTGAAGAGGACTTGAAGTGCTTACTGATGAAGATCAAAGACCACAGCCTTTGGTGTATCTTACACCTCAACATAAAACAAAATTCCTCACAGCTGGACCAATAAGCATCATCATGAAAAACAGAGAAAAGATAAAGTTGTCAAGGATTTCATTTTACTTGGATCCACAATCAAAACCCATGGAAGCAGCAGTCAAGAAGTCAAACAACACATTGCATTGGGCAAATCTGCTGCAAAAGACCTCTTTAAAGTGTTAAAAAGCAAAGGTGTCAACTTTAAGGACTAAGGTACGCCTGACCCAAGCCATGGTGTTTTCAGTCACCTCATGTGCATGTCAAAGCTGGACAATGAATAAGAAAGACCAAGGCCTTTCAGTTATGGTGTTGGTGAAGAATGTTGAATATACCAGGGACTGCCAAAAGAATGAACAAATCTTATTTTGGAAGAAGTATAGTCAGAATGCTCCATAGAAGGAAGGATGACGAGACTTCATCTCACATACTTTGGACATGTTATCAGGAGGGTCCAGTCCCTGGAGAAGGACATCATGCTTAGTAAACTAGAGGATCAGCAAAAAACAGGAAGACCCTCAAGGAGATGGATTGACACAGTGGCTGCAACAGTGGGCTGAAGCATAGCAACGATCATGAGGATGGCACAGGACCGGGCAGTGTTTCATTCTGTTGTACATAGGGTCGCTGTGAGTTGGTCCATTACGTCTTTGGACTAATCTTTCCCTTGTGTCTTTGATTTTCTTCATTCTCCCTTATTCCAGACAGGGTGGGACCAGTGGAGTATCTTAGATGACTACGCACAAGCTTTTAAGATCCCAGATGCTACTCACCAAAGTAGGATGTAGAACATTTTCTTTATAAACTGTGTTATGCCAGTTGAGCTAGATGTCCCCCAAGACCATGGTCCCCTGCCCTCAGCCCAGTAACTCAGTCCCTCATGGAGTTTGGGTATGCCTGTGAAGCTTCCATGACTTTACCTTGGTCAAGTTATGCCGACTTCCCCAGTACTACCTACTGCTTTACCCTTCACCAAAGTTACCACTTTTGTATTGTCTAGTTAGTGTTTTTCCCTCCCTGCCTTCCCCTATATCCATCAAAGATTGTTTCTTTCTGTGTGTAAACCTTTTCATGAGTTTTTATGATAGTGATCTCTTACAGTATTTGTCCTTTTGTGATTGACTTATTTCAGTCAGCATAATACCCTCCAGATCCATCCACACGTTGTGAGATGTTTCACAGACTCATTGTTGTTCATTATCATTGTGTAGTATTCCGTTGTGTGTATGTACCATAACTTGTTTACCCATTCGTTGATGGGCACTGAGGTTTCCATCTTTTGTGCTGTTGTGAATAATGCTGCCGTGAATATGAATTCAGCATTATCTATAAATATGTATAAATACACCCCCCACCAAGTGAAATTCATACCAGGTATGTAAGGATGATTCAGCATTAGAAAATCAATCAACGTAATGATATTTTTCTTTTGCTTATAGTGCTGCAAAGCAAAGGATGAGTTCTTGGATAACAGTTGTATTTGTAGGCTGAACCTTATAAATCATGTGGTAGAGATCATTTGGCTTGGTTGAATGCTGACCTAGGTTCATCTTTTATAAGATGTGTTGAGCCTTTTTTATTTCTAAGTAAAACAGCATAAATATGAATTTGACTTTTTCAGTGTAATATTTCAGTATTTATGGCTCGATTATGTGCTTTTTCCTCCCGTTTCTAAGTAATACCTTCTGTTTCCTATTGGGTTTCCTAACCCCACTCCTACATGGATCATTTAGTCCTACTGTATTTAATCTAACAAGTTTAACCTGTACCATAGTAGGTAGTATATCCTGCTTTTAAGGTTTTGCCTATGTTTTATTTCCAATACTAGATTTAAATTAAAGACAGTAATTACAACTTTTGTTTCTTGGTATTATTCACTGGAGTGCTTTATTTAATGGGTACACTATTGTATTATGATGTTTAATTTATACAGACAGGTCCAAACTTATTTTATGGTTTAATTTCTGTAACCGTAAGATGAATAATGCCTGTATTATATCTTTTTTTTTGGAGTACCTATTCTCTCTCATGCATTGCTCTAGGAATACAGCAATGAATAAAATAAATTACTGCTTTCATGGAGTTTACATTCCAGCA